GATTAAGGCCCTTCAGTATCTGTGTGTGTAAGAAAAGTAACGACATAATAACAGTATGTAAAAATGCCAGTGTACATTTGAAGTAACTCTAAAGGCTACAATAAAATATCCTTCATATTTATAGCACAATCTGGTACAAAACAAAATGTATTAACACGTGAGTTTCAATTTTAGATAACTAACAACTTCATCTTAGTTTTCTTTACATCACAATTGGTCCACTATCAATGCATTATACAACACATTTTACAATTACCCATATCATCAACCAGTTCATATGACAAAATAATAATAACATAATTACTAACCATAACTATAATATATTACAGAAACAATGTGATGCAACATTTCTGTATGTTCTGGATGCACCATCCAAACTAATGGAAGATTAAGTAAAAGCTGTGATTAAAAGTGACAGAGTATACTCTCCATGGTGTTAGAGGGAAATTCATTTTAGTAGCCTTGAAGTAGCCTTAATTTTTCCCCTTTTGACCAGAATTGCAGGCAATGCTTAACAATGGTAACATTTTGTTGCACAGTATATAACCCTTCTGTACAAGTCAGCATAAAATGTAGGATATCACAGCCATAGAAGATACAAAGATTTCCCTTCCTTGAGACTCATACAAAGGGCAAATACAGCTCTTTGGTGCCATGTAATTTCTCTTTCATTTCATTTTCAAGAATATAACCCGTACTGGGCCATGTAGTGCGGCTGGAGAACAGACACCCCATCAGCCTGTCCATGCCACGTATATTTAATTTTACCCACCTTTATGCTTATCCTGCTCACCCAAATAGTAATAAGATATAACAATAGGTAAAATGGTATCAAGTAGTTTTGTTTCTCCTTACACAACAAAAGGTGTATGGGATTCTGTACAGGTTTTACTGCTTTGTACAGCTTCTGTGGTTGTAAAAGTATATTGAAATGGAGAAAAGAATATTTTTTGCTTCTTAATCTTCTAGAAGGACTAGGCTACAATGAACTATGCATAACTGAATGGCAGCATGTGTGTCATGGCTAAGAGAATGTTTCCATGTTAAATGTACAGCCATGCACCAGTATGTTCCAATACTCTCCCAATGTACTTCCCAATATCTTGCTGCCCTGTGTCCTTGGCACCATCTCTGCCTTTCTAAATTTCTACTGTCAGCACTACCACTACCGCTTCACCCTTAGTATCAAGATTTGTGTGCTTTACAAGTGAAATATATTTTGTTGTTTAGCAACAAGAAGCATAGACAAATCATAATTTTAGTGTGTCTTATTTTGTTATAATTTTTAGATCAAAACAAGAAGTTAGAAAATCAACTTGGAATTGTTATATTTTCAACAACATTTTATTTATATGACTTTTTTTTTTTCCTAACAAATGCTCCACATGTCTACATGTAATATGTGTAAAGATTCATTTACAATACCTCAACATCTGGTCTGGATGGATAATTGAAGTAAACATTTTGGAATTCCACGTTCCCTTTAACGTAGTCTGGTTTGTAACCCGTCTCCGAATAACTGTCAATTTGAGGTTCCTGGACAAAATAAAATAAAAAAAACCCCAAACCTACCTTAGCCACTAATGATTATTTTACATGAAGACGTGTTTTCATAGAGTGCACCATTATTCCGTGGATATTTTAAATGTCATTTTAAAGTAACGTAGGTGAGATTTCTGAAACATGTAAACTGCATGATGTTTTGCTGGCTCGTTACATTCATGATCTGCTTGTGCAAGAATACTGCTACAATTTCTCCGTTTAAACTTTTGTGTGAATTTAGTACATCATCTTTAAGACTGGACCCACAGCTAGCCACAATTTGAGATCCGTTTCACTGTCTGATGAGTAACCTAAACAAATCTTCTCCAGCTCTTTAAATGCTGTTCATTTATAGCTTTGCTCTGTCTGCTGCAACAATTTGTATGAGGAAGAATCAATCTGCTTCCCATTAAGCAGAAGCAGAGTTCTTAAATATCACTCTTCTTGTTTCCATCCAGAGTGGGCCTAGAACTTGAAGTATGTCTTAACAATAATCCAACACATGGGAGGGGGCCGGTTAGCTCAGCGGTTTGAGCGCGGTGCTGGCAACAAGGATCAACACCGAGGTCACGGGTTCGATTCCCACTCGGTCCCCATGTGTTGCCAGGTCTAGTCGAGAGGTGGCATCCCTGCCCAAAACAGGGAGGTTGGACTAGATGATCTCTAAGGTCCCTTCCAGCCTAGGCCATTCTATGATTCTATGATTGCATGTGGTAGACCTTTACTAGCATTAGCTAACAAAATTACAGTTTCCCTAATTTCAGACTGTCTTGACAACTGAAATACATACATGGCCCTTACCAGGTTGCGTTTTATTGACTTGCCGACACTCACACTACTGATGGTGCCATTGATACCTTGAAACCTGTGCTCATAGACCTGCATCCGTTCTAATCACTTAACTATATTGCACCATACACATGCTCTTGATGACAAAAACATTAGAGGAAACCTCCAACACCAAGTGTGGATTCAAAGATCAAGTAGTTTTACCTTTGAATAAAGGACTGATAACTCTAGAAAACGAAGAGGAAATTACTAATAATTATACATTCTATCTGCTTTAATGATTATATTTCTGCTTATTTTATACACTTTTTATTTACTCTTACTAATTTCATATCCATAGATAATGCCTATATTTTAAAAAGAAGGGTCTCTCAGTTTTAAAATAAGAATGAGGGCAAACATACTCACATTGTCTATGATATTAAAGACTGCGTAGGCAGCTCCTCTTGCACTAGCAAATGCCTCTATGCTTGGAGCGGTCTGTCCAATACTGAAAGCTCCAATCAATACAGAGAAAAAGACCTGAAAGAAATGTTTATGGTGACATTCTTATTTAAGTAGAGAATTACATTTATTTATTTACATTATGCATCTTTGGGTCAGGAGGCTCCATGCTTGTAAATGGAAGTTCAAGGAATCTAGAATTAAAGGAAAAATGAAATGGTCTATCTTAAATAAAGAATAAGATTAAGGAAGAGGATTTTAAGATTCAGCTGAGAATTGAGTTCCTGCACAACATGAATGTTGCAAAGGCATTGATAAGAAATGAAGAAGTGAATGATACTTGCGAAATCTATGCCAAAAAATTGTATAATTACAATTGATGTCTCAGGATTTATTGTACTTATTCATTCTTCGGCAACAGATTTTCCGAAGATCAGAAATTATATTGTATGTCTTCCAGTGGAACAAAGACAGATATTCAAGCACCATCATTCTGCTTTCAAAGTGATAGTAAAATAGAAGTATACAAATCCAGCTTTACCAGCACAAAGTAGTAGTGTCACTCTGCTGGAATGAAAGAAAGTGATGCAAGCAAGAAAAAAACAAAAAAGGAAAAAATATTTTCTCAGAGAAGCATAGTTCAGTGCTTTCAGCTAGCATCAAAACAAAAGCAATAAAACCACACTGCTCAGAAATTGTAACAGCCATAATATAACAGAGCAAAGGTAGATCACACCCATCATCTTTTCTCCAGCACTGGTCATTCACAAATGTGATACCTAATAAGGAAATATCCTCCCATTCGTGCTATAAAAACATCATTCCACTGAACTACAACATAGATAACAGAAATAACAAACACTTGAACTGAAAAAATTAGACACAAGGGCATGAACCTCATTGGAACGTTGTCTATGTCAGCCTGCCCGCCTGCAAATCAAAAAGTAGGCAGGTTTAAAAGAGCCAATAACATATATCAGAGCCATATTTTTGTAAAACTTCAGTGATTCATAAATAAAACAGACACGGTAGTTTAAAAGAAATGTAAATATATACGTATGGTCTCCTGGCTGGGATTCATCATGGTTAACAAAGTTGTTATTCTCATCATATTTGTTTGATATCTCATATAGAGCATGGGTGCCACGTGAAGAGAAGAGTTATGACTTATGAATTAAGATTTTCTTATTTTAGTTAGACAGTAATCTATTTCCTAGTCACAAGTATATTTTTTCTCCCCCTCAATTTCTAAAAATACTGAGAAGTGATTCCAAGTTCTTATGGTGCGAAATTTAAGAAAAGTATCAATAAAATTATCTACTTAAACCACACAACATCTAAAAAATAAAGTATTTGCTTCTGCTTCCTGAAAGTATAGTCAGCCCCACAAATAAGAAAATAAATTACAACTAAGAAGGTTATTATATTTCAGTTTTAGATTGAACTATTTCTCTATCAGTCTGATCTTACGGCATTCAGAAAAGGTGTAGAAACACTTGAAAATAATATAAGTTTCATTTGGCTTGATATAGATTTTGAGATAGAAATCACACTTCAGCTTCTGTGGTGAGAACAATTTGTAAAGAAGTGACCCTGTATTTTGTTGGTTTTAGCACATAACTCTTATTAAACTCAAATAAGTTCCCAGTATACACTTCAATAGATTTTCTTTAGTATTTTTTGCTTTGTTGGGAATTTACTCATTAGTACTTACTGTCAGAACTTTGCCAATAGTGTAATCATCAGTTATGACCAAGGTAGTTCCATACCAGAAAGCCAGTGCATATGATGCATATATAAGTAAGAAAGCAGCACCCATAGAAATATTTGCTGTAATAGCCTTTTTTATTCCAATCTGTTTAGCATCTTCCAAATTTTTATGGTATCTGGAAGAAAAATAGAAGTTCAAAATAGACTCAGACTTTTGCCACTGCACACAGCACTAAAAACCGCTGAATTGGAAAAAGAACACTCACAAAGTACAAGATGTATACAATATATATCCATAAGACTGTACAAAGGTAAACCTGGTAGGCAGACACAGAGATTTTAAGGTAATCCTAAAAGTGCCAACATCAGTCAACCTTATACAGAGAAAAAAAAAGGCGTCGCAGTTCGGGGACTGACATTGAGGTTTCCTAAATAACCTGCAGGTTAGTGAACTTTGATTGTGAACCACTCATGACAGGTTTTGAGACTATAATTGTTAGCTTAAGATAAAAGCTTAAGCATATCACAAGAATTATGCTTTACAGTACAATAGAAATAGAGATATCTTTTACTAGTACCTTCACAACAACTGCTGAATAATCAGATTACCAAGGATACCATCATGGCACTGTCTATTTTTTTTGTCTAAAGCTCTCACTGCTGTGATGTTTAAAGCAGTTTGCACACTTTCTAGAGCAGAGACAACATATCGACTTATTTTGTCATTTTCTAGAAAAATAACTAATTGTCTTTCAGTATGTACTAGAACTTATAATAGCCTAACAGAAAATTTCCTATTACCTGGAAATGTAGGTAGCACAAGTCTTATCTGTTTTGACAGACTTTCAACAGCAAAGATACAAGAAAATGTCAAACTATCTGCAGTGGATAATTTAATATTAGCTGATGAAAGCAAACATTGCTCTTACCTTTTAATTTCTTTTTCCTGTCCTCCAAAAGCTATCACAGTACGGACTGCTGACAGAACTTCCTCTGCAACAGCACCTGCTTTTGCATATGCAGCTTGTTCTTTGTCAGTGAAAGTAGAGAGAACCTATTACAGGATCAAATGTTTTTACTTAAGAAAAACAGAATGAGCTCAAGCACCTCATAATGGCTTTTATCACAGTTACTTTCTTCCAATATAAAGCCTTTTGGCAGAATGCTCACTATCAAAATCGTTAAGTACATTATGAATACAATCAAATAATACTACATTACCCATTCTCAACAACTAGGGACTACAGTTTCTACTCTGCTTTCACTCAGCACAAGAGATTACATGACTACTCATACTAAGCTGGTACGGTTCTCCACAGGCAGATCTCCTCAACTCATTCTCATCTCCAGCTGCTTTAACTAGAGAGTTCTATAGCTGAATTTGCCACAGCCCATGAAGCCTCCTAGCCAGTAGGCATAAGTAGCACCTGCTTCTCTACTCCTACTTTTTCCGCAAAGTACTCACTCCAGACAGAGAAAGTTTATATGATCTTTGAAAGGTAAGTTAAAAAATGATCTCTGTGGTCCCTTCCAGCCTAGGCCATTCTATGATTGTAGAATATGTAGTTCATCTAGGAGCTTATGTACATGTTGTCTAAAGCTACAATTGTTCTAGGCAATACATTCTGACAGTAAGAATTACAGATATGTATATCTATTTCATTATCTCTTATTAATATAAAAACTGACACTGAATGTATGTTAACCTACCTTTGCCCAGAGGGCTGCTGAAATTCCTAGGACAGGACTGACTGCTAGTATTACCAGGGTTAACTTCCATCCTCTTATAAGACCAACAACAAATCCTGCTACAAACGTTGTTAGTGATTGTACAAGCAATCCAATTTTGTCACCTATTCCTTCATTGATCTTGGAGACATCACTGAAAAACAAATTACATCCAGACAGGAAGGAAAATGTAGAAAGCAAGAGAAAGATTTTCAGCTTTGTTATGTGAGGATCTGTGTAGAGGACAGTCTTTAATATTCAGTTACTTCCAAACAACAGTTTGCTTCAAGATAACACACTACATGGTGATCAAAGAAAATATCATATTTCTTGTGAAAATGTAATGCTATAAATCTGGTTTTGTTGGAAAAGGTTGAAAATATGCCTACAGCGCAAAGTTACTCTCACTTTCTTTATTCCAAACTTTTGATCTGTTTGTGGGATATCTCGAAGGAAAAGATCAAGCCTTCCATATGGGCAAAGAGAAAGGAACAGCTTATGATGTGGTTAAAGCTGTTCACGCTGCTGGGGTTAGTCGGCACCTTATTCAGTCCTCAGTGTGCACAGAAACGACCTATGTCCTCTCTTCATGGGGATGATTTCATAAGCTGAGCTTTAGTCATCCTTGGAGTTCAAGGGAACATATCAAAATTATTTTCTGATATCCTTGTGACACTCCAGTATCAGAAGTATTAGAAGTTCCATGAGAAGGCCTGAAACCTTCATTTGACAATGAAGAAATTCAGCTTGATTTCACAGTGAAATTTAGTTTCATAATGAAATAATTAAATCTAGAACTGAAATTTTAAAAAATTGTAACTCATATGTGTTTAATAAGATGAAATAGCATTGGGAAAAGTATAATGTACTTACTCTTGAAGACGAGTGTTAAGTTCTCCCACATCATTTACATCAAACCATCCAATGTCCTGTCTCATAATTGAGTGAAAAAATTTTTGTCTAATTTTTCTTATTTGCCGGCCTGCTGCTAGTGTCCAAAACGAAGTCTGGATATAAGCAGCAAAAAGAACAGCAGTTGCTATTGCAGAATAGTAGTATGCATATCTGAAAGAAAAAAAGAGGCAAGATCATCTGATATTAGTTTTAATTGTCTCACTAGTCTATATTTGGCTTGATGCTTACTTCTAGTGTTTCAGACCCGAATTAGAGTCATATGGTTATATTAGAGTTTACTCTTCTCTGTAGAACTTGAGAAGTTTTCCTATGAGTAGTATTTAATATCAGTTTTCAGCTATGCAATAAACAAAACAAAGCTGTTATTGGACAGGAGTTACCTTTTGTCAGCATAGTATATATTTTCTCATAAGGCTATTTTAGAATTATATTTTAGATAATATATAATTTTCACTTACATGTGTCATTTCCAAAAACTTCATAACATTTTTGTTTTAACAAATAGGGACAGATCTAATCATATACCCCTGTATTACACACACATACTTACATCATACAACACGCCTGTCTGTGTAAATACGTATATGTATGGATGTTGTAAATATTTCCTGATATGAGAACAAGGCATTACGATATATACATCTATTGCAAGCAAATGCCATTAGAGCAAAAATCCTTTTTCTCTCTATTTTATTCACTGTTGATAATTTACTTTTAAAATAATTAAGCCCTGTGCTATGAGCAGGGTGTCAAATCAAAACCAAGTAGTATACAAATCACTATATTTCTCAAACTGGAACTGAATTTGAGCCACAGTTCTAAATAGAATCTGTCCAAACAGAATCAAATCAGATTCAATTTGATTAGGAATTTACATCAGAATCAGTTACAGCTGAACTTAAACCAGAAAAAAATAACTGAACTGATTCCCTATTGTAAAACATGATCAAAACCAATGGCTAAATATTCACGATGTGTATTACATGTAATTGTAAGACTACCGCATCAACGTAAAAGTAAGTAATTAGCAAAAAGCTTTAAAACTGTTAGGACTTTCACTCATGATTCTTTAGAAATGTAGCATGAAACTTGATAGAAGTAAATTGCAGGAATCTTTGTTCAAATGCTCTGCTCAGAAAAGGAGATAATGGTTTTACAGATGAAACTTTTCCAATTTTAATCTAGTCTACCATACAGTTTAGTCACGGACTTTGGAACCATATTCATTATGAAATTAACGGTATATAAACTGTGTAATAAAAATGGGTTAATGCCTAACTGAATGCTGCTTAGCTGAATATTGACCTCAGTCATCTTCAGATCCATTAAAACTACACAGAAACTACCAAAGAAAAACCAAGAAAGTTGTTTCAAAATTCAGAAGTAATTACTTTAAACAATTACTTTATGATAATACATAGTTCAAAGAATTGTTTTACATATGGAATTTTTCTCACGGCATATTTTATCAAAAGGAATTGATACCTTTGCCAGACTCCATGCTGGTGAAATATATTCTGTAAATTCACTACTGAAACTTAACAGAGAGTAAATTTTCAATACGTTGTAAAATAATACTTATTTTTCTTTTGAGAAATAGTTGGGGTTTAGGCACATCGGTTTTGGAGCAACAATCAAGTCCACATGTATAGTTCAGTATTTGAATACACCTGTATGAGAACTTTGTCCTTGGAAACACTTTTTATTATTATTACTTGACCTGCTGACAGGCGTTCTTAGAGAAACAAGGAGTGAGTACAAACAACTACTTCTTCAAACTAGTGAACACCATAACTCAAGGCTCTACCTAGAAACTTTAGAAAATAGAACCTAGTCCTGTGCTGCTAATACACAATACATTCCTCACTCAACAACTTTCTAAAGAGAAACTAGGGCTGCTGTTTATTCATACTTGTTCTTTCAAAGTTAATGACTGAAAGACAAGGAGACATACATGATGTCTGTGGTGAGTTGTCCCTGGCTGGACACCAGGAGCCCACCAAAGCTGCTCTGTCACTCTCCTCCTCAGCTGGACAGAGGAGAGAAAAGTATAACAAAAGGCACATGGGTGGAGATAAGGCCAGGGAGATCACTCACGCATTGCCCATCATGAGCAGAACAGACTTGGGAAAAAACCAAGAAGTATATTACCAATCAAATCAGAACAGGATAATGAGAAAAAACCCCAAATCTTAAACACACCTTTCCCCCCATCCTTCCCTTCTTCCCAGGCTCAACTTTGCTCCTGAATTCTCTACCTCCTCCTTGAAGCAAAGGAAGTGGACAGTGGTCAGTTCACCACACATTGTTTCTGTCTCTCCTTGCTCCTCAGGGGGAGGACTCCTCACTCCCTTCCCCTGATGCAGCATGGGGTGCCTCCTATGAGAGACAGTCTTTCACAAACTTCTCC